AATAGTGAACATCAATCTTATATTAAAAATAAAGAATTTGATAGATCTCAAATCTGTAAACACGCATGGGATAATGAACATTGGGTTCAAGGAATAATTCAAATGTAGTTCTAAAAGAAACGGATAGTAAAAAAAGAAAAATCAAAGAAGCGGCTCTAATTATGCTAAATGAGGCCAATTGTGTCGCAATTTCTTCGGAGAATGTAGTAGGTCTGGTTACCAATATTGAAAGAGGAAGTTATTAATAAGAAAATACCAGTATTAGTAAGTCAGTAACATATAGAGGATACATCATTTAAGTTTTTTTAAATAACGTAACATATAAAATCAGAATTTTGATGTTTGTTGAAGGTAAACTAAATTCACGAACAAATACTTACAATGTCGGGATAGTATTATGAGGTTTTTTTCCTGGTTTTCCCTCATAATTTACTATGGAATCACTAACAGGAGAATTTTACTGTCATCATGCCATGTGTTGTCTTTTTAAAGACGAATTACATGCTATGATTTTTTTCTGACGGATATTCTCAAGTTAAAGTTGATTTCATGTAATCGAATGAACTATCTTATAAGTAAAGTTGTACCAGGAGCGCAACTCAACATATTGGCAATATCATTTAAAAAAGTCGTCTACCTTTATAAATGCATAATGTATGTCTGAATTGTCAATATTAAATGAGTCAGATAAAATTAAATTATTAGAAGAATTTTTTCACTATGTAAAAAAAAAAACAAAATTTGTTTATTTACTGTTTGTATTTTGAGAACGATTTCCGAAGTGGAAATTGAACGTCAATAAACGTATTTTTATCTTTAATTGTGGCTTATTCCCAGTTTAATAGTAATTAATTTACAATGCCACGAGAAAATAGCTTCAGAACAATATCTGATTTATCTATTTCAGACATCGGCCAGCGAATGTGTTCTGGTTTCAATGTTAGCGGCGCGAGCTCAAGCGATCAAAAGACTGAAGCAACAGCATCCTTTTGTTGAAGAAGGCTTACTTCTATCCAAACTCATGGCATACTGTTCCAGAGAAGCACATTCCTGCGTAGAAAAGGCTGCGATGATTTGTTTCGTGAAGTTGAGGATTTTAGAACCGGATGAGAAATCTTCGTTGAGAGGAAAAACTCTTTTGATGGTGAGAATAGATAGTTATAGAAGTTATTTTTATACGTTTTAATATTTTTATGTGGTTTTCATAATTAGTGAATATCAAGATCAGAGAAAAAAGTGAAATAGCAAGAGAAATACAGAACATGAAACAGAATACTGAGAAGAAGTTGTAGATAATACCAAGGTCATAGATGAAATCTAAAGAAATACAGAAATCGTAAAGGAGCTGGAAAAAACTATTAAGAAAAATATAGAAGGTTTAGAACAATACTAAGGTTACAGAGAAATTGTGAAATCTCAGGGTATAAGTGGTATAAAATATCAAGGTCACAGATAAATGAAGAAATTTCAAGAGGAATACAGAAGTTATAAAAGAATACCAAGTTTACAGATAAATGGCGAAAAACAACAAAAAATTTGAATATTAAAGTTTAAATTGCCTACCAAGGCCACAAAAGTTGGTGAAATATCAAGAAATAGAAGATGAAAGCAAATACAGAGTTCCCAGAGAAGTGGTGAAATCTTAAGAGAATACAAAACATCATCATCATTCTGGACTTACAACCGTGCTTTGGTCCTAGCCTCCTCAAGGATTTCTCTCCAGTTATCCCTATCGAAGCATTCATGGATGCCTGATGGAATGTTTACTGTTTCGTTACATGTTTCTTCCACTTATTTTGATCTGTGCATAGTTTGCTCCAGTTTCACACTTTAAGGATTTTCATATCTTTTATGACCTGGTTATTCCATCTCTCTCTGGGTTTCCCCTGGGTCTTTCAGTTTCTTGGTTCGTTCTGGTGACCTTCTTATTCAGTAGGTCATTTTTCCCTCTCTCTATGTATTCCAGACATCTCAGGCCATCCGTTTAAAGATGAAGAAAATACTGAGGTCACAGATAAATGGCAAAACCTAAAGAGATTCATAGAAATTTAATTTGAATACCAAGGTCACAGACTAATGGGAAAATATCAAGGAAAATGGAGAATAGGAAAAAAAAATACTGAGATTATAGGGAACTGGTGCAATATCAAGAGAAATACAGAAGTGGTGGCTAAGACAAAAATGAGAATATATGTAGAATAATACAATCTTCGTTACTTTCAGTATGTTATGAAAATCAGTTTATAAAATAGTAAAAGTTTTATTCTTTTTATCGAGTTCACATTGTAAATGGGCACTCTAAATATAAATCGCATCGAAATATTTCTCTATTCTCGCCCTATTTTATTTCATTTAATAAATTTTTATTACGGAAATCGTCTGATACAAGATAAGAGTGCAGAGACGCTATGCCATTCGAAAATCAAACGTTTTTTTTGTTTGTATAAAAGCCCCAATTCCGTTGACGGTGTCAATAATCGAGCACACGACAAAAATTAATTTTCCAAATTCAATAAGGACCGAAAACGCTGCCGGTCGCGCGAAAATGAAGTGAGAAAATGTGGTGGTGGTGGTAGGAAGATGAACGTTATATCTGATCGTGTCAAAATTGAAAATTTATCAAATATAATTTGGCAAAAACGAAAAAAAAAACCATGTTTTTAAAAAATCATTCAAGAAAAATTTATATACAAAAAGGTGGATAAAGTATTTTAAAAAAATAAGATACTAAGAAATGATGTAAATTTCCACAAATTTTATTAAAAAACGTAAGACGGCAGGTTTGTTGCAATATATTGCCGAAATTTGCAACGTTCTCTGAAACTTTCCAACATTTTATTTATAGTACAATACTCTGTATCTTGGTAATTTTCTTGACATTTGGACAAATATGTTTCTAATAGCAGCCAAATTATCTTGCCTTTTTTCTGTAGTTTCTATCATTGGCATTTGCAATCTTAGTGTCCTTCCTAAAAAATGAAAGCATTCTTGTGACATCGTCAGTCTAAAGCTTCTTCTTATGGTGCCCTATCCAATTAGTGTATGTTGGCGACAATTATGGCATGCACCTCTCGATCTTGTGTGGCTCTAAAAAATGCATGGGCATCGAGGTTTGTCCAATTCCTTATGTTTTTAAGCCATGAGTATTTCTTTCTTCCGATGCCCCGTTCTCCTTCTATCTTCCCTTCCATAATAAGCTTTAAGAACTGGTACTTATAATTTCGAAATATATGACCCAGATAAGCATTTTTTCTTCTTTTTATTATTGGCAGAAATTATCGTTCTCTGTCCATTCGACATTTGTTGTGTGATCTATCCAGGGAATTTTAAGTAGTCTTCTAAATACCCACATTTTTAAAATCCTCCAATCGGTTCATCACATTGGCCTTTATGGTCCAGGTTTATACACCATATAGCAGTATGGAGTAAATGTAACATTTTACAAAGCGATATCGAAGCGTTAAGTTAAGGCGGCTGTTGCTTCGCAAGGTTCTCATATTAGCAAATGCTGTTCTGGCTTGCTGAATCCTGCTACATATCTCTATGTCTGGATCTAGATCTTCAGTTATCCAGCTACCGAGATATCTGAACTTGGGGACCTTTGAGATGTTCTTATTGTTTACTCTTATACTTAATTACATATTTTCTTTTCTACTAACCACCATTACCTTCGTCTTGTCTATACTAATCTTCAAGCCCAGTCATTTTCCTTCAGTGTTTATTCTATCTATTAGTCGTTAAAACGCTTCTTGGCTATCAGCTATTATGACTGTATCATCAGCATAGCCAAGATTACTAATAGTCTGTTGATTTTGATTCCATCTTCAGTATCACTTAAGGCTCTATCGAAATTCGTTACAGAGTAAAGATTAAATGGAGGGGTGACAACACAACCCTGTCGTATTTTTTTTCAATTGAGAAATGTGATGTATATCCCAGTCCTATTCTCACAGACGCCACTTGATTCATATAAAGGTTCTTTATGATTTTAAGGTCATTCTCATCTATCGAACGTTCCTGGAGCAATCTTACTAATTCTGAATGATTAACACAATCGAACGCTTTCTGGTAATCTATAAAGCATAGGAAGACATCTTTTTGCTGATCTCTGCATTGCTGAAGTAGGACAGTTAAGCCATAAAATGCTTCTCTTGTGCCAAATCCTTGTCTGAAACTGAACTATGTGGGACTAATGTCTCTTTTACATCTGTTGTATATTCTTCATTCACAGTCTAAAGCAACCAGGTTTAAATAACGAATTTTAAAAGTTCCTTAATATTTACATATTGAGCAAGCAAGCAAGCGTTTAATTAAACTTAGCTTGTGAGACATGTCCACTTCTAAAAATTACGTTCAGGTGTAACAATTAATTGGAGCGAGGTGTATCAACTCGAGTTAAAACAACCTCACCATCTCTTTCCCTCCTATAGCACTCTGATGCGCGATAGGGGCATACCTATCAGCCAAATGCTCTTCATGTGAAAGTCTTGGGTAATATAACTCCAATATGGTATCGCGAAACTAAAATTGCTTACTTGGGCCTCAAGTCTTCGCTCTGAGCTAAGCTTGGTTCGGCGACTTCGTGCTCAAGGTGTTGGGTCCTTTTTACCCGGGTTTTTAAGGTTTTTTTAGTAGTTTTTTAATTTTTTTTGGTGGCCGGAGCAGTTTTTTGTGTTTCTTGTAGATTTTTTTCTGTGTTGTCTTGAAACATAAAATCAACCTTAGTGCTTGGATACCTTGCGTTTGTCCATGATTTTATATAGCTACGAACTATCCGCTTTATGTGTTGTTATTGTTGTTTTGTTGATAGTCCTCTTATTGACGATTTGGCTTTTTGTATTGTGACGTCTACGTGCTTGTTAAATGTTAAGCCATTATTCACTGTCACTTGTTCCTCTGGTTGTTGGTGCCTCTTTTTGAAGAGTACTGCCTGCGTTTTTTCGGAGTTTAATGCGAAAAAAGACACCTAAATTTATGATGCAGTAAACATATAGGTTTTCTTTATATAGGTCTATAATAACTATAAAAATGGTCAGATATCTGAATTAGTCACAGTCCCGAGAGAAATCTTTTTCCGATCTATATGATGCAAAAGATTTGGAAATTTAAACACGAATGCAAAATAAATGACTGGCAATGAAAATTGCCTTTTCTAAGTAGAAATAAATATGAAGGCTACAAAATAATAATTAGAAAAGAAGGAACTGTAATAAACAAAAACAAACTAACTCATATGGTATGGAAATGTAAATAAAAATAATGAAGACCGAACATTTAAATCAAGACTAAACGAATACCAAACCATCATGAAAAAGGACAAGATAATGCAAAATATACTTGGCAATAATCGTTTAGGAGCAATAAGATCTGAAAGATATAGGGTGAGAAGGAGAGAGAGAGACGAAAAGAGACCGCATCTACAAAACTATTATTTTGGTCATCTATGCAGACTTCGATGCTGTATTTTTTGTGAGAATATCACTATATGTTTTATTATAGTACAAATTTTTAAAGGTTAATCTCTTCTTACCTAAATAAACACTGAAATCGGTAAATCACTTCAAGTATTACAATATTTGCTTTACAGGCTATGGAAGAAGACGAGACCATGGGTCTCATTCCATTTTTCGTATCTACCACGTTGGGAACTACCTCCTGTTGCGCCTTCGACAACTTGGAAGAAATCGGTCAGGTATGCCAGAAGTTTCCTTGCGTTTGGTTGCATGTGGATGCAGCGTACGCAGGAAGTGCCATGATCTGCCCAGAGCTGAAATATCTACTTAAAGGCATCGAGTACGCAGATTCGTTCAATACAAACCCCAACAAGTGGCTGTTGACAAATTTTGACTGCTCTACTTATTGGGTAAGTGGTTGTATTAGGATTATCAACTCGAAATAATCATTTTATAGTAGTAAGATAGATACGAAAAAGGTTTTCTTCTTTCAACACAAGTCCATTAGATAGCTGACCATCTGATGAACTTGCCACAACTTGTAACACAACTGAACTGTTATCCAGTTCAGTTGTGTTACACCATAATAGCGTTCTCTATCATATTTCGACTTGTTTAATCTAAATCTACTATTAGAACTAAGTATCATTTAATTTTTAATATGAAAAAAAAAAAAAACGTTAAAAAGTGAATATTTTCAAAAAGTGCATAAAATTAAGCAAGGTATACGAATAAGGATTTTTGATGAATTTACAGGTTTTGTCAAATATTTCTTTAGTAATTATGTAATCCTTTAGTAATTATGTAAAGGTATTTGTCTGTTATATCATCAAAAAACATTGATTGACTTAGAAAATGACGTCCACTTAACATATTTTAAATTCCGTTTAGGTTAGAGACAGAATTCGACTAACCTCTGCATTGGTAGTCGATCCTTTGTACCTCCAACATGGTTACTCAGATGCCACAATCGATTACAGACACTGGGGAGTTCCTCTAAGCAGACGGTTTAGGTCGTTGAAGATATGGTTCGTGCTAAGAAGCTACGGCATTTCTGGATTGCAGAAGTACATAAGGAACCACATTACGCTTGCACATAGGTTTGAAGAACACGTGGCGAAGGATAGGAGGTTTGAAATATGTAACGAAGTCAAAGTAAGTGGTTAAAGGTATTACAATTAGAAATACTCGTTCATGGACGTCAGATGTCATAATATAAATAATATATTAACTTTGAAAAATAAGGCTATTATCGAGCACAAATTAATTAAATCTAGCCCAAGTACTTTCGCTTAAAATAGCATCTTCAGGGGCATTTCGTCAAATATAAACTATCCGGCAAGCGTAGAATGTGGAAACATTAATGACATAAAATTGTACAAAACACTACACTAAAACGAGGACCAACAGTTTAAAATTACTTAAAAGATTCTACGCTACATTCTTTGTCAGTATCTGGAGAGATAATCTTATCCCGAAATGCCCCCGAAGATGCTATTTTAAGCGAAAGTACTTGGGCTAGATTTAATTAACTTGTGCTCGATAATAGCCTTATTTTTCAAAGTTCATTTATTCGAGCATTCACCCTCATTTCAAAATATTATATTATTATATATTCCCTTTTTATAAATAAATATAATATAATTTATATGATTTCAGTTAGGTCTCGTATGTTTTCGACTGAAAGGAAATGATAAACTGAACGAGAAGCTGCTGAGCAGCATCAACGCCTCTGGAAAACTTCATATGGTTCCATCGAACGTCAACGATAAATACGTCATCAGGTTTTGTGTAGTAGCAGCTGATGCTGAAGAGGAAGATATAGGTAAAGTTGACACCACAAATACATGGACCCGTCCAAACACAAACGTTTCAAACATAAGCGCGTGGAATGGCTCATTAGTCATCGCAAATGACCATTTTCATCAATCAATTAAAATCTCAAATATACTAGCTTCACAGGTGACTATTTGACACTAAAAATATGTTAAACAAATTGACCATATTCTTTATTTTTTCTTCATTATTAATAATCATCATCATTGATGCTAATCCAGCGTTTTATCATATTCTGAGGTAGATTAGTCCTCTTTCTTGCTATATTAGTATCGCCAATTTAATTATCCGGTTGCGTTACTTCCTATATCTGAATTATTTTGTTAGTTTTTTTATTTTCATAATTTTTGTCATTATCCGTGTTATCCCACCATCTTGTTGAATAATAATGGCGAGAGTATACAATTTTGGTTAAATCCTCTTTGGAGTTTTATGGTCTCAATGTCCCCCATCTCTGTCCTAACATATGAAGTTTGGTTCCAATAGAGTTCATGGACTTTTATCATTTGAATATATGTTCTTTTTTTGTCCCTCATACATATCTCCCATAAACTTCACATACTCAGCAGTACTTGTTTATTACTGTGAGCCCAAACAGACCCTCTCGAAGAACTCTATAATATTTTCTGTCTCTTCAGCCTTAAGTAATCCAAATTTGGACATAGACCTCCCCGAAATCAATCCAGTGTTTTCTATTTTGCCCCACTTGCTTCCAGTTGTGTCCACCGATCTTCTTAATGTCATCTGCTCATCTCATTTGTGGTCTTTCTCTGCTTTTCTTTCCTAACCATGGCGTTCATTGTTGTATTTCGTGGTTCTTTTATCCTGGAATTAGACCCTGAAAAGCAGAAGGAAATATGGGAACAATATCTTAAACATTTGTTTGGTGATCGGAGAGCAGAAGGGCCCCCACAAATAGATACCAATGGAAAACTAAGTATTTTAACCGAATAAGTTATGCGGGCAATAAAAGACGCATTCAGAGAATGCCGGAAAATAGATGGCCAAAAAAAAATAGAAGAATGGACTCCGCCAACTAGAAGAAAACGAGGTAGACCAAGACGATCCTGGAGAGACGATGTCGACGATGCAATGACCGCCAGAGATCTAACAACTGAAGATTGCTTCGACAGAAAACGCTGGAAATTAGGATGCGAGAAGCGGCGCCAGCTGTAGAAGACTCGCTTGTTATATATATAAAAGACGCAAAGAACAACAAGGCACCCGGCGAAGATCGAACAACAGCCGAACATTTTAAACACCTGAGTGATGATGCTGTCGGGAAATTAACCTACCTCTTTAACATTATATATGAACATGACTCTACCGCATCACTGGCTAACATCCACATATGTAGCTCTTCTTAAAAAACAAAAAGCAAGGAAATGTGAAGACCATCGAACTGTATCCCTAATGAGTCATGCTGCTAAGATTTTTATTCGAGTAATTTATAACCGCATTCACAATAAGTGTGAAGAATACCTGAGTCGTTCTCAATGTGGTTTTAGGAAAGGTACAGGCACCAAAGAAGCAATAATGGGATTGACACTAATGGCAGAAAGGTATCTCGAGGTTCAAAAACAGCTGTATGTGTGCTTTGTCGATTATAGAAAGGCCTTCGACCGCATTAGACACGAAAAATTGATTGAGGTGCTAAAAGAAGTAGGGCTGGACGGACACGACATAGCTATAATAAGCAATACATACTGGAACCACACAGGATGTGTTCGAACAGACAACGGAAATACCAATTATGTAAACAGAACGAGGAGTGAGTCAAGAGTGCATTCTGCCCCTCTTCTATTTAATGTCTATGTCGAAAATATCATCAGAGCTTTTCTTGAAGATCGCCCTGAAGGTGCCAGAGTCAATGGAATCATCATTAACAATGTAAGATATGCCGATGACACCGTAGTATTAGCAGAAACAGAAGACCAACTAAAAATATTGATGAACATACTATCAGAAGAAAGTCACAGACTAGGTTTGGATATTCTTCTTTCCAAAAACAAAATCATGGTATTCCACAAGAACCCCCATGAACAAATTACACCCAACATACAAATCAATGGTATCACCCTTCAGAGCTCCCAAACCTCCATATACCTGGGCAGAGAGCTAAATAGTCAGCTAGACCATTAAAAAGAAATTAGAAGACGTATTGAAATAGCAAGATCTGGCTTCATGAACATGCGTAAAATGCTCTGTAACCCCAAGCTATCAATCACAATAAGGTTAAGAACACTAAAGTGTTATGTATGGTCTCTACTACTATATGGCTGTGAGACCTAGACATTAAAACAGTATGACGTCAACAAACTGAATTCATTCGAAATGTGGATGTACCGCCGAATGCTAAGAATAAGCTGGACCAGCAAAACTACAAATGAAGAGGTACTGAAAATAATGAATACACGACCTCATCTGGTTAATACAATCAAAATTAGAAAGACGGTATATCTAGGACACATTATGCGCCATAAGGAATTTGAGCAGCTCCAGGTAATATTAGAAGGCAAAATCGAGGGTAAAAGGGGTATAGGAAGAAAGAATAAATCCTGAGAAACATCAGAGATTGGACTCACACAACAGGAAATGACTTAATCCATCAAGCCCAGAACAGAAATTTGCATATTGATCGCCAACCTCAATAGAGGAGGAGGATCTTTTATCCTTCAGTCCTTCAGTTTTTCGAAGCTACATTTTAATTTGGTAGCATGTTCTCCTGCGTCTTCTACTTTGGTTTTGCTTCTAATCCAAGTTTTTTTGTCTATAAGTCTCACCCCCAACATTGATCTTTGCATAGCTCTTTGTGCCATCACTGTTTTGTCCATATTAGACTTGGTGATTGTCCACGTCTGTGAGCCATACGTGAGTATACCGAGAATACACTGATAGTAAATTCTGTTTTTCAAATATTGTTTCATTTTAGTGCTTTTTAAGATCCAACTCAGTTTTCCAAATCCTGCCCACGCTAACCTTATTCTTCTTCTAATTTCGGTAGTTTGATTTTCTTTGTTAACTTTTATTATCTGTCCCAGGTAGATGTATTCGCTTACTGTATATGTCATTATTTTGTTTTTTTCAAGTTTATCTTAAGACCTACTTTTTCCGAAGCTTCAAATAGTTGCGGCATCATGGTCGGTAGTTCTTCGAATCTTACAATGTCATCAGCGTATCTCAAATGCCTCAGTTTTCTCCCATTAACATTTATTCCTTTATTTGCCCAATTAATGTCTTTGAACACGTCTTCCAGTCCAAGTGTGAATAGCTTTGGTGAGATAATATCTCCCCATATAGCTTTGATTTTCACATCTATTTGTATTTTCATTGTAGCTTTTTTATAAATATTATGTATCGTGAATCTATCCTGCAGTTGTTCATAGCTCTCTCTATTGCCCAGTCTCTATCAGCGTACTCTATCATACGCTATCTCAAAATCAATTAACGCCATACGAACTTTTGTAACTCAAATCCTATATTTTTCCATCAGCTGCCTTCTAATGATTGTTGAAGGTGACATTTCGGTTTTTTTATGTATTTGTCTATTAATTACTGTCTCCCATATTTTTATAATGTATTTCAGTAGTTTTATGGCCGTTTAGTTTGTGTATCTCCTTTGCGTTACTTAACATATTTTTTGAAATGATTGAGCCACTCCCTCGCTTATTACCTGTTGGTATCTGTTGGCATCTGTTGGTAGTGCAAATTCTGCGGTTTATCTCTGCGGTAGTATTATTTTCAGTGCAAAGGAGCGCTCCCATGTATACAAATTCGTTCACTGCTTCGATGACGTCGTTTTCTATAACAAGTGGTCGTAGGATTTGCGGTTACGTGCTTATTTTCATATACTTCGTTTTGTTGATGTTTATTATTAAACTCATTTTTGCAGGTGATTCTTTTAATGCTACATACGGCTCTCGTTTAACTTTTTTAGCATAGGCCAGGACTTACACTGATTTATTATATATTGAATCAGTGGTTGTGATTTGTGACATACGTATTATTTTTTTAGAGCCAGATTAAACAGTATACAGGAGAAAGGGACTCCCTGGCGCTGTCCGTTATTTGTTTTGAAAGGTTCAGACAGTTCCTCCTGAATTTGTACTCTACATTCAACTTTGTTAAGAGTTAGTTTTGTTAAATTTACCAACTGACTTAATATTTCTAGCACTTTCATTACTTTGAACATTTTTCTTTTATTCACAGAGTCTTAGGCAGCTTTGTAGTCTATAAATATATGATGAGTATTTATGATATATTCCAGTGCTTTTTCTAAAATTTTTTTCAGGGTTGCAATCTGATGAATTGTCGATTTATCACCTCTGAAACCAGCCTGGTATTTTCCTACTAACTGTTCTATATATGGTGCCATACGGTGACATAGTACTGTGGAAAATATTATACTGTGGTTAGAGCATTCAAAGATATCTCCTTTTTTGTGTATGGGGCAAAGTATTCCAATATTCCAATGATTGGGGAGGGATTTCTGTATCCATATTTATTTTATAAGCTGCTAGATTAAATTATAAATCACATTATATTATATATGATTTAGATTTTTGTTCAACTGATACAAAACAATTTGTACTAGACAAATATTATTTCTTGGTACAGTATTTAAATTAAATAATTTTAGAAACATAAAATTTTCTTGGAGAAGGTTATGTTGATTTCGTGCATTTTCTATTTTCACAGATCATGCCTGGGAGGTCATAAAAGAATTCGCGGAAGAATTACTGGAATCTCAATCGTTGGAGAAGGAAAGGGTAAGCGTATTATTTAATACCGCAATTGTTTTATCGGGAGAATTCAATACAGTGGTTACTTTACAGTCCGATTTAATTATTTATCTTCTTCTTCACGTACCATATCAGAGTCATCCGACGTTGGCTATCACCATTGCGAATGCTTCTCGATTTTATGTCACATGGAATATTGTCCTGCATTTACATCCAGCTACGTCAAAGTTGGCCTGATAAAACTTCAGTATATATTTGGCTGGGAAATCACAATTAGCTATTGTTCATCATCTCAAATACCACAAAGTGGATAAAATGTTTGTGTATCGCACCATAACTCTTTATAACGATACTGGCAGCATTGCCAAACGCTATGGTGGTGGATGAAAAAAACAG